GATTCCCTCAGATCGCGTCTTTGATAATTCACACTGCGTGATTGTCACTCACGTGAACGAGCACCGATTTGCCTCCGATGTCGGGCATTTGTCGGCGATTTCACAAAACCTGTCGGCGAGTGAAAAATCGGGCTAAAATCGTGCAGTGTGAACTCGGCATTAGACTAAGACTAAGACTAGAACTAGAAACTAACACAGGGAAAAGGCTACGTAAAGTAGCTATCACGCGATGAGCGATAAGTGCTAAACAATACTCGGCAGTTTGAAAGGGATCTGAGTGAGTGTTATATAGTGAATGTGTGATTGGTTACAGCTGTGTGCAATCAGTGCTGTGTGCAATCAGTGCAATGGATGATGGGATATGTAGTCCGGGATGACATGCAACAGTTTGTGTAGTGCGAGAGTCAATGTAATGGAAGGGTGACCTCTGGTGGTGAGTGAATTGAAAGTTCATAGACCGGATTCGTGACATATGAACTCACTCTCAATTCATTCAAAACCCATCAAAGTTATTTTCTGTGTAATTACAAAGAATGGTAAGAGGAGTTTTAAGATGAAAAAACTACATTTACATTTATGCATGTAGTAAACGCTTTTATCCAAAGCGATGTATAAAAAGGAACAAAGTAATTTGTCCAATTAGTCAGCAACATTACACAACGTATTACACAATGCCAGGTTTATTAGTCAACTAGATTATTAGACAATCTATATGCTGAATAACTATATTTAAAAACCTTATATAAACTACATATAAAAGTTGGTCCATTCTACTTGTGTGCTATATTCCTGGAGCAAATTCATTGTAATTGAATGGAAAAGAGTAATTTTTCATTATGATACACAATGTCTATTACTAAATACAACTAATCTTGTAAAACCATAAAGTGTAAACTGGAAAACCATAATTTTTAATAATGATGTCTTCAGTAATCAATCTTTGTTATATCAATAGAAACTAAACATGCATTTTATAATTGAAACAGCAGCATGCACATTTATCAAAGTTATAAAGCTTAAGTTCAGCTTAAAGTTCAGTTCAGCTTAAAGTCTTTAAGGTTGGGACAAAAGTGACTTTGGATCTCTGCTGGAGACCTTAAGAAGCCAAGAAAAGTCTTCATCATCAGCCAAACAAAACTCTCCTCACAGGATTG